GCTTCAAGGCCAGAGCCTTTGGTAGAACGACGGGGGGCGGGGGTGGAACCAAAGAGGACGACTTCCATCTCGTCGACACCGTTGGTAGAGGTGGATAGAGAACGGGAGAGTGATTTTGAGGTACCATTGGTGGTGCTTTGGAGAAGGGATGCTTTATCGACCGTGCGTTCTTCCGCCGATGATGCAAGTTGGATGTAATGCACCATTGCCGAGTAAAGATTCCCCCTCTGGCGCTCGCTCGTCCCCGGTTGTAATGTGCAGTCCATAATGCTGGCCAGGAGAGCATTCAACCGCTCAGCCGGAAGGGTGGCCGCCAACGGATCGTCTACGATGCTCTGCAGCACGACCTGATGGTGTCGATCGTCTCTAAGCTTCGCGATGAGCGAAAGCAACGTCTCGCACAAGAGAATGGCTGTCTCGGGTTCGGCGCCAAACACGACAGGCGGCAAGGCCTGAACAACGTCAAACAAGATCACTTCCCGGCTGTCGTCCGGAAGCGCATCAAAGCACCTGGTGAGCGCCACGTTACATAGACGTGTCCAAGACTCGTAAGCAGCTCCGCGAGCATGAGCAATCTGTCGCCGATGGTTCTCCAAGGCACAGCATTCGAGTAGATATCGCGTCTCGTTCTTGAGCTGCACATGGTGCTCCGGGGTCGGAAGGAACCCTTGCCTCTGCAAATGCCGCCTCTGGTGCGTAAGAAGTCCAAGAAGCGCGCTGGCGTCAACGACCAAGCACCCCGTCGCGTCCGGGCGTAAGCACGAGTCAAAGTTGAGGTCCGCGAAGAGACGAAGTTCGATAGGTTCAACCGAAGTAGCATCGACCCACTGGAACGCTAACGACTCCAAAAGCTCTAGAACGCGCATCAGACTCTGCCCTGGCGCAGGCATATTCATCGCCTCTTCGAACACCGTGAGTGCCCCTTCGGTCTCGGCAGTCGGCTTCTGGAACAGGAGTCCGAGAATACGGGCGGCTCGAGGATCCTGCTCGACTCCAGCCATAATGTGCAACTCCAAAGATACCAAGTCCAGCACCCACGATCGGAGCCTCAAGAAGGCGGTAAGGGATGCACACGCAGTCTGAACGACGCTATGGTCGCCTAGTCGAACACTCCCATCTGGAGCACGATGAACGGTAGGAGGGCGCATCGGAATCGCTGCCAGCTGCCTTGCAAAGAAGTCTTCGTGCGTCCTGAGATATCGGATGGTCGTCCCAAACGTAAGCGCATGCGTACACAGTTGGTGTACGAGCCTATAGCACTTCTCCGCTAAGACAGGGTGGCGCTCAAATAGAGGGGGGTGTTGATCTAGGTGGGATTGTCGCCTCGATTTTCGGTCCAGCCTCGGCACACCTTCAGCCAACAGTTCGAGGACTACATGCAAACACGACTCTCGCCCCCCTGAAGCGCGCGGATCCTGAATCGCCATCGCCGCCCCAGCCCCGCTGTTCCCGCTCGCCACATCGAACCCAAGTAGCAAATGCGCGAAGTTCGGAGCAGGCGCACCCGTTGTGGTGTTGGCCAGCAAAAAATCAACGATTGTGCTTCGAATTTGCTGCGTCAACCCAATCTTCTCGCCGTCCGGTCCATCATCGCTGAGCAGGAGTGGGATGCCTGGCTTATCCTCCCCGTCGATTTCTTCTTGAGGATCGATCCTGAATCGGCGCACATATCCTTCGATGAGCCGGTCGGGTTGGTCTCGGCCCAGGATACCAAGCAGTCTGCTAACGCGGCGGCTATAGTGTGCAGCGGTCTCCATTGTGTTGAAGCACGCAGACCTCGAGAGCGTGGTCAAGAGCCTGACCGAGAGCAAGACGACCTCTTCGGAGTCCTGGTAGTTAATCAAGGAGGCGACCTGCACGACCGCATCTGGACGCCATAGCAGCATCTGATCCAAGGTTGGCACGACGCTCGGCACTTCTACGTCCAACGACAATTGCCTCGAAGCCGGTACCAGTAGCTCGATAAACGCGTCCTGGATCTCCAGCGCCCGAGAAATGATGCGCAACGTTCGGAGTAGGCACCGTGCGAAATAGGACTCCCCGGCCTGGAGCTGACGTAACATTTGGCCGTTCTCCATACCCCTCACTCCAGTCTCTACGACTCCCAACAGTACGTCCCTGAGCCTCTCGTCCGCCAAGACCCGCAACAACACCCCGAATCCGGGATGTTGTACCAACCTCTGCACCACCGCGGCCTGTTCAGCCCTCACAGATGGATTCGAGCTGCCCCATTCCTCGGAGACGAGCGCGCCCAAATCATAGCCCTCGAGGGAGCGTTCGACAAATCGGAGGCAGGCTTCTGTGAGGCGCCATCGATCGGCGGGGTCGGCGTATTCCCGTTCTGAAGCCTTGAGCAAGACATCGTCTAGTACGAAGCGTACATATGGGCCGGTTCCGGGTACGCGGTGCCCACTCCCCAAATTGTCAGGTACGGTTTCGGGGGCTCGAGCGAGGCTGTTGAGAAGATGTACGAACGCCATCGTGGCGGGGTACTGTCTTGCAGGCGCCTCGACCTCTTCTAGCTCGGCAGGGACGCCCCGGCTCTTCTTCCACCCTCCCATCCCTCCAACCGCGTTCGAGTCCACAGAGCGCACTGGAAGAACCTCGTACCGTTCGAGGTGAACCCACATCAACTTCACTATTTCCTGTCCAACCCCCGCCTCGTCTCCGACCTCACAAAAGGCCGCGAGCGTGTCGAAAATCTTCCCTTTGAGCTCCAACGCTACATGTGCCCGGACCAGGTCCAGCATCACGCTCACAGTCCTATATTGTCCGTTCTCTAGCAGAGCCGCGCGAGCGGCAGTCGAGTATCGTACGACAACGCGGAGGACACGGAGAAAGGCCATGATGCTCCGGATTTCATCTGGGTCTACGGGTAGAGGCTGGCGTGTACCGCCAAGGTCGAGCGCTCCGCCGGGGATCATAGCAGGTTGGCGAGTTTGGGAACGTTGGTCTGGGACGCTGCCAAGGAGCCAATCGAGCGAGCCGAAAAGGCTAGCCCAGGAGCACCATCCTGCTCCAGTTGACGCGGTCCCCCCGCGGATCATCCCTCCGTTGCTGGAAAAGAAGTTGTAGGCATAGGTCGCGCACCCAGGTCCTCGCGCCAGCGATCCAAACATGTTATATAGCGGCTTCAGTAAAGGTGTCACGCGCGCTTCGGCCGCCCATCGAAGAAAAGCGTATAAACGGCCGTCGGAAGAGTCGGCCCACCAGCGTAGTGCCGCGTCTGGTGGTCGATCGGCGTAAACAAACGCGATGAGGTTGAAGAAGTCACCTAGGCCGCTGCGAGGAGGTTGGACGGAGTGCGAGACGGTTCGTGAATGAGGGTCGGGTTGACGAGCGCGGGCGGTGGACAATGTAAGATTATGGCCGGTATCTTCGTCCGCGTGGCGCATGCGTCGAAGGACGGGGGAAAGGTTCGTGACAAACGCGACGACGAGAATGTCGACTTGCTGAAGAATAAATTGGTAGAATACTGGGTCTATGGACGCAGAGAGCGGCTCCCCTTGGGTGGTAAGGTGCCAATCGGGAGAAGCCAGTTCCTCGATGTTGAGCGTGTCCGCCGAAACGTCTTCGATCGTTCGCGCCGAGTTTAAGAGGGATGAAAGATAGCGCAGCGCATCTGTTCGTACGGCCTCCGTCACTAATCGCTCGATTTCGCCTTCGGAGTACCCATTCGTGCCTTCAAAAGAGGGATCGCCGTTGGAGGCCTCGATGAGAAATAGACACCATTTAATAGTCAAAACAGCCTTCAATTCTGGCATCCTCCAGTTGGTTTTGGCGAGCTCGGATTTGACAAGTCCGACAAAGGCATGGTCCGAGCCGAGGGAAGTGGAGGCGTCCAGAGCAGCGAGGGCAGCAGTTAAAGCGTAGATCATAGTGGGCTCTTCGGGAGAGACGGAGGACAGCCAAGAGATAATGCGGCCAACTTCGCTCGCGCGCAGTTCACCAGAGCCTGCAAGCACGAAGAGCAGGTGGCCGAGGTGTTGGCGCTCATGCTGGAGTGCAAAAACTCGAGCGGCGTAGATATCTGAGCCAAACTTGTAGACACTATTTGTACCTAGAGGATAATTAGCGTTATGCTAGGCAAGTATAAAAGCACGCACCGATGACCGTCGTCGAATCCGCATTTCGCTGGTTCGCCTGTTGCCTCTGTAACAGCGCAAAGCTCTCGTCAATCTGCTGGAGAATCTTTTCCGCCAATGTCCCTCGCCGTCCACCACCCAAGTTCGTCGCCGTCCCAACAAGCGTAACAGCGTATTCTGTCAGCCTCGTTCGGACCTCCGAATTGACCTCGTGCAGTCCCATCGCGCTCTCGAGGACAAGCCTGAGCGTGTCAAGCACGTTGCGTCTGCATTGGTGAAACTGCTCGACGACCTTGACGGCACTCTCGACGGGATCATCGTTCGGGTATCCAGACAAGACCTGGTCTAGGATACCGGCTGCGTGTCGTTCAGAACAGTCGAGTTGAGAAGCAAGAAACAGCGCCTCTTGTACAAAGTCGTTGTTGTAGGTCTTTTGTTGGCCGCCAATCGTCGCCTTGCCTGTCGAACGCTCAGCACTCGATTCTACGATACATGATCACAGTCGAACGCAGGGCTTACCACTCTTCAGCTCATTTTCCTCAGCAAGACTTCGTGGAGGAACGTCAAGGAGCGCGAGAAATCGAGGCTTGGAGTCCTCGAGACGATAATAGAGCTCCTGCTCGTATTGGCGCGTTGGTGCAAGGAACGCATTCGCTAGGAAGGTGTTGAGATTTTGCCAGTAGTCGTTGTCCATCTTGGCTGACGTCAAACGTTAAAAAGGGTTGCTGGGAAAATAAAGTGTGCCTACGAGGGATTCGGTAGAAGGATATAGTTGAGACTGTCCACAGCAGAGTCTCAATACTCTGAGTGGCTACTAGTCGAGGTGAGCGTGAACGATGTCGCGCCGATGCACGTGACAACAACAAGACAATCCAGCGTGACGGAATGAGGAAGCCACATCAACGCCTGAATCAAGCCGCGGTAGCTCAGTTGGGAGAGCGTTAGACTGAAGTCAAATGACCTTGTGGTCATGCGATGCGGAATCTACAGGTCACCCGTTCAATCCGGGTTCGTGGCATTCTTTTTGCATCAATGAGCTTGACTATATCTGTTTCCAGGCAAACTAAAATTCACAGCTTACAGCGGTTTGCAAAAGGGTTTTCCACGCGCCAAGGGTTTGAAAAAAAAGTGATTGAACAAAAGTTGCTACCACACATGTACATCTAAGTCTTACTGTATGATATATATACCGCTAGAATCGCCTGATCAAGGTGAGAAAGATGGTATCCTCAGTTTTCTGAAAAGGCGAAATCTCAAAAATAAGACACACCAGCCCAGAGCGGCAATTGCATCCCCAATAGCGCACATGAAGCCTATATGAGGCAATGCAGAGTATTTTGGGGCACCACTGAGTGCTTCCAGAGGAAAAAGGAAGCAAAAATATCGAGATTCTGCTGAGATATCAATGCGTTAAAGGGGAGCAATGCCTGGGGAATATATCATTAGTAGATATTATGGATTTGCAACATGTGGGAATTTATTCAGAGGGTGAAATGTATATATTCTGAAAGCCTGGAATTATGCGCATTTAATGGTATATTACACATGATGATGTGATGACTTTTGTGGAAAAAGTGCAGGAATACCCCTGGAATTCCGGCAAAATTCCCGTGCAACATCCTTACTATTGACACAGATAGTATGTGGTTATCCAGTGCACTCTATGTGGAGTGGATGCCCCAAAACTTGGGCTAAAGGTGTAAATGTTTGTGAGATTGGCAAAATTGAAGGCATTTTAAGCCAAAAGGGGAACCCCAAAAAGTGATATGACAGATTTTGTGGTTCCACTTTTGGGAAGATTTGTCTCAAAATTCAGTCTTGCTACAATTTGCGGTTGTGATATAATGTGTCAAATACAGTCCTGCATTCATAAAGTGTGCTTCTTTTGGCTGCCTGAAAATCTGGCATTTTACCCCAATTTTTGGCATATCCATCACATGCAGAGTGGGTGTGGAAGATAAACATGCTTCTAGATGAAGCTTTGAATCTCCCTTCTCCTCCTAAAACAGCACAAAAGAAAGCAAAAAGAAGGCAAATCATCCTAGACTAGGGATGTCGTGTGAGCATTCCCGCATGCCCGCATCACAGGTTATTGAATGGTATCAGCTGACGAAAACTATTGACTAACCCGTGATGCAGGCATGCAGGAATGCTTGCATGACATCCCTATCCTAGACTCAGGTGTGTTGTGCATAGCATCACGGAAAACCCCCAGTACAGAATGAATGATATTAACCTAAATTTAGCTGTATTCAAACTTTTAGGTTTTTACCAACCCCCCCTTTTCATACACCTAAATTGAATAAATTTAGGAATTTCAAATTTCTTAAAGATGTTACTTTGGTCATGTTTGTCACTTCTAACACTTTTCCAGATTTGGCATTTAATTAATTTAGGGACATTTAGGGACATTTAGCAGATTTAGCTAAATTTAAGAAATTTAGGTAAATTTGAAATTGAGATCTTAATGAAAGTTGAGCATTTTCCTGATGTACATTGCCCCATTCCAGGTCTAACAGTGCTATCTAGATGAGAATATGGAGGCCACTGGCAGTAGAGACCTTGAGAAGAACACTGGTGTAGCTCTAGTTGTTTAGCACTGGGTATTTATTTGGCCAAATTTAGTGGGATTTAGTCAGATTTGTTCAGTTAAACCCCAGTTGATTGGATTGTTTGAGATTTCTTATATTACATGTTATACAGTCATCCACCACATGATGAGACACTACCATGTGGCAAGACAACCATAGTGATTTGCCACTGACCCTCACTTTCACCTCACTCAAAATCAGTCCAGGAGGCCTGAATGTTTGTCAGAGTGTGTATTTATGGTGCGGCATATATTATACAAATTTTTGTAGTCACCTGGGCAGTATAAGTGGCGCATTTACGCAAGTGTCTTGCCTTGTGGTGGTGTCTTGTCACATGGTGGATGACTGTACACAACTCCCCCATTTTAGGGGGCAAATAAACCCCAGCTATTTTTAGAAACATGTTCTGGAACAAGTAGTTTCCTCTTTCTGTTCCTATTTCTGACAAAATGTCTGGTTATTTGTAATTCCAAATCTGACAATGATAATGTAACTTTTGGAGGGGGTTTCAAATTTCTTGACCTTCAATATTATTCCACATTTGGACTAATTGTCCATATATGGCAATGTTGCATTTGCAATTCAATCAACTCTTGAACCAGCCTGCAGTTTTCTCTCCCCTGTCCACCAAGCAGACTATATGCCAGAAAATATCCTTGGGCGAAGGGTTGGGTGGGCTAGCATATAGGAGGGTGCTGCTGAGGGGGACTTGAGCTGATGGAGGTCCTGGTCATATGACAGAGTCAGCTGACAAGGGACACTGACAGGTGGCAGTGCACTTGGAACCATGATCCAATGAACCACATCTGGATACCACCTTGTTGTGAACCACGCATGCCAACTGTCATGGCCCAGACCATGTCACGAATTTATTATGATTTTATATGATTTTCTACGATTTTATTTCATTTTATCTTCATTCTTACTTTCTCTAAGTCGTGTTTATTCGATTTATGTGTAATTGCCACCTGATGTAAGCATAGCCACGGCGCTTGTTTGTAAGCGTGGCTGTGCGTCGCTTAAGGGTTCGCTTATATGCACTTCTCTTGCCAGCACAACTCTTCTCTCCATACGTTTTCCATGCCTTCTATAAAATAGTTTTCATGTACTAAAATAGATTGTGCAATATATAAGGGAGAGTCTGAGAGCCTTAAGCCTCAGAACTCGACCTCCTGTTCTCTACCACATCCTATCTACCCTTTCATACCATATTGGTCCCTGATTGGTTTCTGCCCAAAGCTCTTAAGCTTAAGTGCAATACTTAAATCATACTCCTGGGTCTTGTCCCAATCCTACCCTTGTAAGACCCCTTTGCCTTTGAGCATCGACGGCAACCCCTTCACCAACTAAGCCCTGAGCTAGTTTGGTTCTGCGTGGACTTAGAGCCATTGCAGGTCACTCCCTAGTGGTCGTTGCTGACACCAACCCCTCTTATTTTCTTGCTTCAGCCCTGGTATACACCTTTGACCTTAGCCTCAGCGCACTTGCTTTCTTTTGTGGCTTACAACTTATCTTGTGTCTGACCACTCAACACTCTTTCACATGCTTGTGTGCATGCCTTGAGGCTTTGCCTCATGCCATCCTCATGTCTGAGGATCTTTCACATGTAAACCTCATGTACACCATGAGGCTTGCCACATGCACATCTCATGTTTCTCTTCTATACGATTGGCTAGGTCTAAAGATAGACTTTCACATGTACATAGGAGGCTGTGCACCTCAGAGGTATAAAAGAACGGTGAGCAAGCCTGGGATCCCCAGCTTGCACTACCTTGTCAATCTCCCCTCATAGGTATGAAGACATGACAGCACTATAAGTGAAGGCTTTATTGCATCACTTGTACTAACGTCCTCACGATACTAGTAAGAGATAACTTGCAAAGCCATAACCTAAGATATAGGATATATCTCTCTTGCTGCCTTATAGGCCTTTACCACTGCTGGACTCAGTCCTTTAAGCCACCAGATACACTACTACAACCTACTAAGAGGTCATACAATAAACTCAGAATACAAGCCACAACCTAAAGGAGGGCTGTGACACACATGGATTACAGGATTTTATAAATCCAGGTGAATTCACTGAATCCTGGTGTTATTCAGGTGAATCAGCACCCCTAAACAGGGGTTAGTGTCTAATCCCCATAATCAATTGATACAGGCAAATTATGTGTAATATAAGGATGTTGCACAGGAATCCTGTGCGCCAGCAAAAGTGATTCTGGCCACCCAAAAATCGGCAAATTCCAGTGATGCAGGTGTGGTGCGGGTGCAGGAACTCAATTTTGGTGTGTGGAATTCTGCTGGAATCCCGCAAATTCTGGTGATTTGAGCGCCAATACCAGTGCATATTCCTGCACATGCTAGTCCACTTTTTTCCAGTTTATTAGCATTTTATTTGGCCTCATTTGTGCAGAAATACACCTAGTATCACAGAATGCAAGTTTTGCAAGTTTTGATGGTACTGGAACTTTACCACAAATGCATGTGAGCTATACCGCCAAATGCGCATAATTCACAGCTTTCGGAATATGTACTCATATATGTTGAAATAATTCATTCAGACCTCAGAACACAGGATATACATGCAGAAGGGGAAAACCCCCTGAAAAGCGCCACATGCACTAAGGAATCCCAGCATCAGAATGCTGCTCCCATGGATGTGATAGGTGCACCCAGGTCTAAATAGGCTATCTGTCACTTCTCAGACAGTTTGGGGCAGGGTAAGTGGTATAAAGGGGGAAAATATGTCACCCAGGGGCTAAAACCCCTGGGAAAATGCCCCCTGCAACATTAACAAGACTTCTCTGAGAGATTCTAATGAGTACATTCTAATCACAATGTCTGATTGCCCTAGTACAGTTCTCATCACTTTTTTGTTGTAGTTCACATTCACAAGTCCCAGTGGACTTAAGCTGGCAACCAGATGTTACTTGACCAAGGCAAGTTAAGTACAATGCTGAAGATAGGGAACAGCTACAAGTGAGATATGTTCTAGATCTATTTTTTCATGTATATTAGATAGATCCTACCCACTTGAAATGTGTGAAACAGCCTAATGCTCATGCTATCATGGATTACCATACAGGGGAATTTGTCACAACCCACCTGTAGGCTGACTTGTGAATGATGAAGGGGAAGGGGACTGGAAGATGTGTGCGCCATTTTGATATTTAGCTCCCAAGCTAAAATGTGGCAGTGCCTCTCTGAAGCTCTCCAAAGCTCTGAGAGCTTCGGGTAAAGCCTGCACACCTCTGACAGCTCTGAGCCTCTCTCAGGCTCTAGGAAGCAGGAAATTTCTCCTGGTGTGGCTCATCACTCCATCAACCAGGCCCCCCACCACACCACCCTACTACATGCCAGTCCACCCGACCCTTCACCTGGGGGTACTTTCTAGCATATAGTCTGTTTGGTCAACAGTGGATAA